ACTATCCGCACATTTTGTTTCCCACAAGACTCTCAGAAGCATCCAAAAGGAACTGAGTGAAGCTAATTCTCCCCATGCATAACAACTTGGTATTTTGATCAGCCAATGCAGCTATGAGTAAGTATATGATTTATATTTGGTATTTTGATGTCTTCAAAATAACTAGAGGGGCTGGCCCCATGGCCAAGTGGTTAAGTTCGAGTGCTCCGCTTCGGCGGCCCAGGGTTCCACCGGTTCACTGGGCGCGGACATGGCACCGCTCACTAGCCCATGTTGAGGCGGCATTTCACATGCTACAAGTAGAAGGACCCACAACTAAAACATATATATAACTATATACTTGGGGGATTTGGGGAGAAAAAACAGAAAAAAAAATAATTAGAGTTTGGACTCCAGGAAATTATAATTATCACAAGGCAGGAGCCACATTTGGGATTCACAGTACAAAGCAAACAGAGCAAATTGCCAATGACCAATGGAATTTAACATATCAAAAATGCTGCCACAGTGACAGTGGTAATTCCGACAAGTGGGTCCCCACAATTACAATAGCAAATTATCAACTTGGAGTTACAGAGAGATCAGAGAATAGAAGACAGGAAGGAAGCAACTGATAGCACTTAGAGAAGGAAATACTAAAGGTTTTTTCTTGCCCCTTCTGACTCTTTCAATTTAGGTTGATAGTCTAGGTTTCCTGCTGTTAAGAAAAAATATTATGTCATAGACAAATCCATTCTACTTAAGTAAAACTAAAGTTAGGAGAAATTATAGATATCAAATTAAATCTCAGATATTTATTTCATTAAAATCTACCCTGAAATATCAGCTATGAAAATAACACTGTGTCTGAGAAGATGGTGCACTGAGTGCAAGTTCATGACTCCATTACTCCCTAGATCTATGCTGGGTTGACTCAACCACTAAGAAATATGGGTTAACTTGTTCAAGACTGCTGCCGTGCCCACTGGCCTCCAGGAAAAGGAGCTGGCTCTTGCAAAGAACCAAGGAAACTGGCCACATTCTTAAGGCAATCAATCTCCAGTTGGCCTCAAGACTTGACTCCCTAATCACACAGGCAAGGCAGGCCTCTCGACTCAGTGAAACAATCCAGAAAACAAGATTCCTGCCTCCTCTTCTCTCTTACCCAATCTGCTATCAAGTCCTACTGGCTCCCCCTCCAGAACACACACTAAAACCATCCAGTGCATTCTACTCTTCTAGCACATCTTAATTTGGACCAGCTCACATTTCAAGTGCTCAATAGCCACATACAGCTAATGGCTACTATACTGGACTGTGAAGCGCTAGTTGATTACTTTTGGTCACCTGTGTTTATAGCACGTTTACTATGATTACAGGGCTATCAAAATGCTCTTAGCTTGTATCATTCTTAATCTTCCCTGGCAATGCTGTCTTAAATGTGTATTCACTCATTTTTATGGGACCTTCCCAATCTTGAAGTAAAAGAATCTGATATTCAGTCCCAAGCTTCTTTCACTATTTCTGGGGCCTTTTGGGTCACGATGGTCTTGCAGAACTTTGGATGTAATAGTCTTCACTGAAGTGTATAGTTCAGGTACAATCCCGACTCACACTTCATAATCTCTGCGCTGCAGTCTAAACGTAATATAGAAGAGCTTTGAATTTGTCTCCAAGTTCCACTTTTAAATATCTAGGGTTGGAAGAAAATCAACCTTGAATGCATTCGTTTAGGCATGTAGACTGTAATAACGAAGCAACATTATTTGTGCTTCTATCTCTGGACTCTTCTCTTGAAGAGAACCTCAAATAAAAATTAGTTGTTAAGACCTGTAGTCTTGACTGCTTTCATCTAGATATAGGGAAGAGAAGGCATCAACCTGACTGTGGTAAGCAATCATTGGGCATTCCAAAGTCAGTAAGAAAACTTTCAAAGTAATTGTTTTTCATCTCTCTTTCGATCTCCCATAACATTTATGCCTCAAACACATATCAATTGACACTTAGACACTTGCTTTTTCTCATCTTCTAGATTGAAGGTTTCTAAGGAAAGAACTTGTTTTACTCCTCTTTGTGGCTTCTATCGTAGCACCACGCTTTCCACAACTTCATACATTACAGGTATTTAATATTTGCAAATTTAATTCCGGGAGATAAGGTATACGTAACATGCTAATCAATGTCACCATTCAGATGTATTTTCCACTCTATATTTTTCTTCTAAAATTAGTCTTCACTTATTATGGCTTTCTTTCTGTGGTCAATTCTTCAGAATGGATGTCAACTGATTTCTTGGATCTTTCACTCTTGCACCTCATTTCTTTCTACTATTTTCAATTCTCTTCTTCCTGAAAGACCTTCATTGTTCTTACTTTCATTGAGGGTCTGTTTGTTGTTCAATATATTATGCACAAAGGAATATCCTACACACCTTTTGCCCTAAGCCTCAAACACTTAAAAGACTGAATTTGTTTTTACTAATTTTAACAGTCAATGCAGTCTCCTCTCATTCTTTCTCGAAATTAACCTTTGAAATTCAACATCATGAAATATTCATTGGCACCTCTAAGGTTCCAGCCTTAACACATGAAAAAAAGCCACACCAAAAGTGAAAACATTAACTATTAAACAAAATGATAGCAGCCAACTCAGTGTTAAGTACTTATATGCAACTCTAAATACTTTATACAATTTAAGTATTTGAAAGTTAATGTTGACTTTTCAGCAATGACGCAAGACTGAACAGATCCATCTGTGTTTGTTCCTGAATCACCACTGTAACCTTAAGATATTTTTTTACAATCTTAGAAACTGAGAAATCTCAAGAGATATTTACCAATATTTATTCCATGAGGAATTATAACAAATTTTTAAAGTACTTTTATTTAAAAGTAAACCCATTACATGGTTACATAAATTTTTATGAAAAATATTTATCAAAAAAAATTTGACAAGTCTGGCATTGTTGTACCTTTTGGCAAATCTCTTTAGTGTCTGACTTCATAGAGGACAGCTGAATTCTCATATCTATTTGTGCATTCTGTCTGTTGATGAGCTATGCTGTCTTGGTTCAACTGTGTCAAGAAAATCCAATCTCACATACGTACACAGCTTTTTACACGGACAAACGAAGTGCTCTTACAGCTTTTTCAGATAATCATGCATATTCTTCTTTGATACTGCACCAAAAGCTAACAATCAGTTGGTTTCCTAAAGATTAACTCCAACATGAAAGCTGAAACCACAAGCAACTTTTCATTGTTTTATTAAAATCCATCAGTTTGCCTGGTATTCAGCATGGACCTCTCTTATCACCTTGCATTGGTTACCAGAAAATATTGCTTCACTAAATCATGCAGATCCTCCAAATAGTAACACATTTTAACACACACCAAAAAACAATTACATTCCTGGGCCTGGCCCTGTGGCCGAGTGGTTAAGTTTGCGTGCTCCGCTTCAGCAGCCCAGGGTTTGTTGGTTCACAACTTGGGCACAGACCTACACACTGCTCATCAAGCCACGTTGTGGCAGCATCCCACATAGAAGAACTAGAATGACTCAAAACTAGGATACACACTATGTACTGGGACTTTGAGGAGAAAAAAAAAGAGGGCGATTGACAACAGATGTTAACTCAGGGCCAATCTTCCTCACCAAAGAAGAAAAGGCATACCTTAAAAACTAATGATAATAATTACATTCCTTCATATTCTCATTGAGCTGATCAGAGGTCTAGGTAGTGGGATGCTATGAAGCCCAGGGTCTCAGACATAAGTTTTCCAAAATCCTAATTTTTCTTGGAAAGCTCACATTTTATTATTGGCAACAAATTATTTTTATTTTCCTTGGAATGTTAGGCTGACGTGGCTTGAGAAAAATGTCTGTCAACGATTGCTTCAAGTAAAAATGATGTTCCATGAAATTAGTTCAGTTTACAAGTCAAAAAATTACACGCTTTTCCTCAATGGCCACACAGCATCATTGCTCTTGTATCTCTGCTTCGAATTCTTCTGCAACGCGCACCGTTCTTCATGAGTACTTGCTATTTCATCACTTAGGAGACTTAAAAGATGTGTACTCAAGGGCTGAGATTTAACAACTTTCAGTGCTTTACCAAAGACATTGAGACTTTCAAAGAAAGTTCTGAGAGTTCCCAGCAGTAACGAATACAATGACCAATATAATGATTACTAATACACTTTGGAGCTATTGTCTTGACTGGTGCTAAGGTGCCAGCAGTTTGACTGATCATTGCTTTTCTAACTGAATCTTTCATTGACATTAAACGATCAAATACTCAGGATGGGCAGAGCTGCTTTTCCTACGGAAGCACGTTTCCCAAGTTTGTGAGAAGCTCAGTCCTCCAAAGTCTTCAGAATACATTTTCTAAACTTGTGATAAAATACACACGAAAGTTACCATCTTAAGGGTTGAGGGTACAGTTCAGTAGCGTTAGGAATATTCATATGAGCAAAACAAACTATATACCCATTAAACAATGCCCCATTTCTCCCTACTCCCAGAAATGTAGTTTTTAAATGAATACGAACTATACATGTATAGCATTAAGAATTTATGGGGGCCGGACCTGTGGCCAAGTGGTTGAGTTCGCGCACTCTGCTTTAGCAGCCTGGGGTTTCGCCAGTTCAAATCCTGGGCACGGACATGGCACTGCTCATTAAGCCACGCTGAGGCAGGGTCCCTCATGCCACAAACTAGAAGGACCCACAACTAAAAAAGACACAACTATGTACCAGGGGGATTTGGGAGAAAAAGGAAAAATAAAATCTTTAACAAGAATTTATGAAAATAACCAACACTTTTCTAGTGGTCATACAGTAAAACTGAGATACATGTGAAGAATTATATTTTGCCTTCACTGCTTTCTTGCAATTTCCTGAACCTACTAAAATTTTTGGGACAGCTTAATTAACACTTCTCCTTTTAAAAACACCTTTCTAAAATACACCCTGTTGTGAGGGTAGGAAATCAAACACAAATCAAAGCATTACTATTTCAAATATATTTGTTAAAAAATAAATGTTTATTTCAAGTATGAAAAGTAATGTTTAAATGTTATCCAAAAATTGTGTTCAGTTTAACAAGTATAGAACAAGACTTCTGACAAAAAGTTTACAATCAGGTATAAAATACGTACGAATATACTTTGACATTCACAGTGAGCATTTTTGAAAATAAGTTTTGCTAATAAGTTCTAGAAAAAAAATCCATTTACAGTCCCAGCTAACACAAACAAGTCCTTAACTGAGGAACACGCCTCCCTAGGGATGGACAGTTCGCATTTCAAAATAAGAATTGTGTAAGAACTCATTTTAAAATCGTAAACTTGGTTCAATAATGTCAAAATACAATACCTTATGGTTTCCCTGACAAATGCCATCTATTTTGTACGTCTGCTACCCACAAATAAGGTTCTCAAGCCATTTTTATTAAGTAATTTCAATGATATACATAACCTAAGTGGTAACCAAGCTCTCTGAGAAATTTCAGCGTGGCAATGCTGCGTATTTCCAGCAGAGTATTCCGAACGCAAGATGACAGAAATTTTCTGGTGGCAATTACAGAACCATCAGAAGAATTAAAGTCTCAAAATTATTTTACAGGACTGCTACAAAGGCTTCTGCTTCTCTTCTCCAGGTACATCTTTTTGTAGGTTTGAAACATTGCTTTTGAATCTTTTACTGGGTTTTGTAGTGTCTCTATTCCATCTGCACTGAAGCTTCTCTTGGAGACTCTTGAATTAGCCAAAATATTACCATCTAAGGAAACAGAAATTTTATTTATTACTCTTAATTAATGTTAGTGACCAATATACAACCAATCAAAATTGAGAGGGAAAACACGCATTCTTTTCTGGGATAAAACAGGGCCAGAAGTTAGAAATCTGAGTGCCAACTATGGCGCTTTACCTGTAGAATTATGAATTATACAAACAGGACACCTTGCCTCTCCTTTGAGGGCTGTTTTCTACTCTCATCCTTCTCTTCACTGTCCAGAGCTGTTCTGCTCAGCCTTTACTCTTGCTCAATGGAATCTCTTACTTTGCATACTATAGTAAATGTGACCTTCTTAACAGCTATCTAAACTACCAATATAAAGAGCACAAACACCAGCCAGTTCCAAACAGTGAGTGGAAAGGACTGTTTCAATGTTCTGGCCCTGCTATGCATTCGGTATTCTCAGACATACCTGTACATTTCTGTTTCGTTAGACCATTTCATTGTTGCATTAGCTTCACCACCCTTTTTTTTGATGGTCCCAGCTTTTCCTACTTCTGTGCATTTCAAGATATGCCTCTTGATCTCAGTAGCTGTTTCCCCTACTCAGAATTCCCTGACTTTTCATTCCTGCTCTAGTCATTCTGTTCTGGATAACAGTCTTGTTTCACCTCTTTCTGCCTGGATGGGCCAAGGATTCTGTCCTCTTAGTTCTTTTATTTGTTTCAAGTTCTTCTGTCATTAGCTTTCCTTCATGTCACTAACAGTGATGCCTGAGGTGGGTCTCCGAGTTGCTTTCCACTGGATTGTTATTGCCTCTTCTGACAGTTTCACAACTGGCTCCATCCACATTCCAACCTTTGCGACCAAATTTAGATGTGTCCTTATCTAAAGCATTTCTTCATAGCTGCGTGGGAGCTCCCGACATTTGTTTCTGTCTCACTTCAGGCTGGTCCACGTTCTCCAGCCTCTTCATCTTGGTATGTTTCATCTTTCACTGTTCCCGAGTCCCATCAGACTTTTCGCAGAGCTCTGTGACTTCTAAGTTGGCTTTTCTCTCACCCTGCTGCAGATCTTATTGTGTGTGTGCCCTGGTTTGTGCTTTTTTCATGATTCGGAGTACTGATGTCCTACCTTCATCGTTTATTGCTCATCCTGTTTGTGGCTCTTTATATCTGTCCTTTAGCTCACGTTTATCTCTGAGCTTCTTTGGTCAATGCGTATGCAACTGTATTCTCAGTATTTTCAGACTCAGATTCCAATTATGCTTCTCCCTTTCTCTCGAGACAATACTTAGTTCTCTCCTATTCCCAAAGGCTTTTCTTGCCCCAATTTCCACGCCCATTTCCATCTTTCTCAATTTTGACTTCCTGGTTTGCAACTTTAGAAGAGTTTTTCCCTACTCCCAGACCTCTCACCAATTCATTTTCTCCTCTTTCAGTGTTTCCCTTCTTTCTTTGAGTCACTGATTCAACTTAAGTTTTCTCCTATACGCATGACTCAATTTCCACATGCCTACTTATGTATATTTGTTTTAAGCTCTTTTCTCAACCTCTGTCACACTTCCTCTCTTTTTAAAAAGGTGCTTCTCTTTATATTAATTGCTCATGGTGAAATTCCACTTCTTTCCATTTTCAAGTGACTCTAAACCCTTGTCTTTGTATATTCAATTAACCAAAACTAAGGTAAAACTGCCAAACCTTAGCTACTAGTTCAATGAAAAACCCTAAGAACAAAGTACATTCACTTCACTAATTAAATCAGATACTGAAAACTCTGGTTTTTCTAGTTGGCCCTGAGCCCAAATCCCTCCCCTGCAAAAATAATTTTAAATAGGAGCATCAGTCTCTCATCATCAAAATAACTTAAATTCCATACTTAATGAACTTGGAAGAGACGGGACCTGGTTCAAGTTCCTAGCCTTGTAACTTTAGTCAAATGATCTAACCTCTCATTGATAAAATGAGAATATTCCTGTCTACCTGGTTTTGAGAATTAAATGAATTAGCTTGCAAATCATTTAATCTAGGAGTTGGCAAACAGGGTATGGCCTGCAGGCCAAGCCCAGCCCTTAGCCAGTTTTGGTAAATAAAGTTTAATTAAAACATGGCCCATACTCATTCATTAATTATTCTACGGCAATTTTCTCACGACAACATCAGAGCCGAGTAGGAAAGAGACCTTATGATCTGTGAAACTTAATATTTACCGTAAGTTCTACACAGAAAAAGTATGCCAAACTCTTAGCTAATACATTGTGCTGAGAACTACTTTTTCGTAAAAAGGAAATAGATCATTGCTTCCTTCTCCACAGCATGACAGAAAAAATAAGAAAATGTCTTCCAACCACTCATAGACACAAACACGGAATCATTTAAAAAAGAATGTGGGTTGAAAACCAAACTTCACAATAGTTTCATAACTATTAATCCAGCTTATACACCACAGAGTGCCAGATAAGTAAAATAAAAATTTAAACAGTGATTTTACCTATTTCTTGGCTGGCTTCCGGCATCCTTTTCTCCTCAGTTACACATTTTAACCAATCTTCTTTCGTACTTTTTATTCCTGAAACTATTTAAACATTTATTTTCAGATCTCTAGATACTGCTATTCATCTCTTTTAGTACTATAATGAAGGAAAATCATGTGAGCTTAAAATAGATTTTAGAAGGCATCAGATATATTCACATATAACATAACTCTAAAAAGAGCCCGGAAAAACGCTTTCTTCCAGTTGACATGCCTGAATATCTCACAGTTGAAAAATGAATTCTTTAAAAGTTTACTTTCACTATATAATCATGTTTCTCACACTTGGGCTGAAGACCAACACATCTTAAGGTATTTAAGGGCACATCTGATAGCAGTTGTCATTCACACAGCCCCCAACCATTTCCAATGTTCCCGTTACACCCATGCCTCGAATTCTAAGCATCTAGTTAAAAGGACCAAGTGTAATCACCAATACTTTACAAAATGAATTTTACACTCTATTTAATCATATCCTTATCACCTTCCAAGAAAATGTACCATATTTACGTTCAACAGATACCATCTGAACAGCACAGGAGAAACTAAGATTTCCATTCAAATCCTTTCGTTTTCCAAACTGGGTTTCTCAACACAATGTTTTAAATATAATATCTACAACCCCTAAATGTTTCCTTACTGCAGCAAATATTAGTCATCTAAATTTTCTTCTTCCTTCCTGCACTACATTGAGAATTCTGTCATTCAGCTAACCAATAATCATGTCTGCTCTTCTGGGTTTGGTGACTCAACATTGGACAGTACTGGTTCAGCAGTCCTCTCATTTCAAGATTAGACTAGACATTACCAGTTTAACTTTACTGATAACACAGGCACCAAATGCTTCAAAGATGACAATAGGTTAAAACCATTTCCATATGTATCAAAAGATTTCACTAAAAATAATTATATATGTCCTAACGTTTAGATCAAAATTTCAAATTCACAGGGCTTTGAAATTCCAAGCCCAAAGGAGAATCAACAAAAACAAGACTCCTGAGATAATGTATACTTGACAGTTTTCTAACTCAGCACAAAGAATGTTTTTCACGATATGGCCTTCTTGGTACAAAATGAAATTTTCGCATTTGGCAAACCTTACAATTTTATATACCTCAACTTTAGTACAAATTACATACAATTTACAATAAGGAGGAGATAAACTTAAATATTGCCCAACGAGCCACTGATTTACTGAGGAAAAACAAATACCAAGTAAGGGCACTCAAGTCTTGCCTAGCTACCCAGATAGCATGAGAGGTGCCACTTGCTGACCCACAATACTTTACAATGGTGCGGACACTAACTATCAAAAATTCATACCGGACCTTGCACAGGAGCCTGCTTCTTTCTAGGACAAAGCTGCAGATCCTTCCAGTCTTCAGCAGGGTTTGTATTCTTTATTAGTCCATCTGGACATAATTTAAACTCCAGCATTCTTGATTTTTCTGTGGTATCTTTCACAAGCAAAAGGCTCTTAGGTTTCTTTTCTGGTCTCTTCTCTTTATTAAGCTTCCTGGGTGAACCGTCCAATTTCGTGAGACAGATGCTCTCCCGTTCAGTGCATTTAAAGGCGACTCGGTTCAGGTAGAGTTTCCTTTGATCCTTGGCTTGGGAAGACGTTTGGCTGAATTCAACTTCATTACTTACATTGGCTAAATTTTTGTCTAATTTGCTTTTATCAATCCACATTTTATCAGCCTGCTTTCCACCCACTGTTCCTTTAACATTCCTCGAAATGTATGTTTTAGACTCCTCAGAATGGTGGGTTTTGAGGTTTTTATCAAGGCTTACATAAATATTTACAGGTTCTTTTGAGGTCTGCATGCTGCTAATCTGTCTCTCGTTTGGTTTCCCACAACTCCCTACTCGCATAGCAAGTTTACTGGACCTGATGTATTCAGAATCACATGGTACGTTCTTCGCATATCTTTTTAATGCTTTGCTACCCCTAGCTTCTTTATACTTCTGCCTTTGTAAAAACTCCTTCTGTGCTAGAACTCTATTAAATTTAGATGCACTATCCTTGGAGCCCGAAGACTTAACATTTGATACTGTCTTTTCTTTAACATTGGCTCTTTCATTTGAGGTTGCCAAAAAATTACATAACTTAAATGTACCACCTCCCACATTTCTATTCTGCTCTCGTTTATCACATTTCTTCTTCTTTATCTCTGAAACAAGTTGGTTTCCTTCGTCTAACTTCCTTTTTTCCAAAATTTTTTGTGTGCAGCCTCCTGCTTTGAGTTTTCTCTTTTCTGGTGATACTGACAGCAACGAACCTTTCTTCATATGTAGATCTTTATTCTTATTTGTCAAAAAACCCATCTTTGTTTTCAGTGGACATGCGTTTGGTGCCATGAGCCTCTTCTGCAGGCTCTCTTGTGAAAATTTTGTCATTTTGTGACCGGAGTGAAAAGTTATCTCATGAAACTGCAGTTTTCCTTTTCGTTTGTAACTTTGCAAGGAATCTAGTTTTTTATCACCTTTAGATAAAAACTGACTAGAAGATTCTTGTTCTGAGCTTGGTGAGCTGTTACCTTTTAGTTGGGATATATCTGTTATATTCTTGCCTTGATCCATCAAAGGAAAATGCTCTCTACCATCTGGAGGAGACAGAGGAACCTTCGGATCATTATTTAGAGGACTATTAAATCCAATAGGGTCATCTCTATCAGATGCGCCCTCTCCTTGTTTACAACTATTGGTCTCCAAGGGAGGACACTGATCTTTCCCTTTTTCTTCCTCTGAAGTCAAGTTTTTGACGGAATTACACTGGCATTGGGGTACTCCTTCATAAACCATAGAGAGCCACCCCAATGCACAGCAACGGACATCGTCTTTCTCTGAATCCACCGTTACAGAATCAGAACTTTCTCCATCTGTACGTGCTTGTGGGTCACACTGGCTCCCTTCTTTTGTGACAGGCTTTTCTTTCTGAGGTTCTGTCAACTTGTCTGCCTCACAGGCTTGATCATCCTGTTCTGGAAATAATTCTTTCATTTCCTCTGAGCTTAATATAGTAATTTGTATTTGGTCTGTTGAGTCTGTTGAGTCTTTGGGGTCACATCCAATCTCATCACAAGTTTGATCTTTTGAGATCTGGTCTGTTAATTTGGAGGCCACAGAACCGTTACGTCTGTTCACAGCTTCAATACCATAGGGAAATTCTTTTAAAAGTTCTGATAGCTGATCACGTAGGTATAAGATGGATGTCTTATCATCAAGAACCTCATTTCTTGCAGGATCTTGGGCAGTGTAATCGCAGGACATATCGATTTCCTCCAGGAAACTATCCTGCTGACTAGCAACCACCGAACACAGATCATTGGCCATGCTCTCTGTTTTAGTGATGTGTTCCAGATTGCTTTCCTCTACAATGCCACTATCTGCCTCAACATTCTTTAAAGATGATGATTCTGCAAGTTGCAGTGACTTTGACTGATCAGGTATTTTATCTGAGATATCTGTGCACTGTCCAAAATTATCCTTTTGAAAACCAGGGTCTCTATTTTCAGTGACGTTATCTAATTGTTGTTCACTACTAATCACTTGGTGATTGGGGAGAGAAGGTTTCTGTGCCTCAACCTTTTTCAAAGGGGGTGAGTTGAATATCTTTGCTATTTGGGAATTATAAGATGTATTACCTTCAGCAAGAGAACAGATATTATCAATCTGTAATGCATCAACATTCACTATATCACTGTCCCTTGAGGTACAGGAGGCTTGCCAATCACCCACAGGATAAAGGATATCTGGTTCTGATTTGGTATGCTTTCCTTGATTAGTATTAGGTGTGCCTTCTAAATGACCCTTAGTTGACTCATTTTGCTTTTCCTTCTGAAACAGTGGGAAAATCTTGGTGCTTGCTGTCGTACTTGCTACTGGTTCATTAACCTTCAAAGCAGCAGTAACTCCAGGATTTTCTGCCAACTGATTTTGTAAGCTACAAACACTGCCTTCTTTAATAACCGGATACATTGCTTCAGGTGAAGCTTCAGGTGTTATTTCCTTGACAGATAACGTTTTGACATCTGAAAGAATTAAGGGTGACACTATAGCAATCTGAAGTTCTGTTCCCTTTGTAACAGTTGCACCTGAAGACTCAGAATTCTGCACTACCATTGACAAAGCTGATTCTTGTGAACTGTTTACCTTCTTATTCTGAGAATTTCCCACAAGTGAAAATGGACTTTTGTCACAGATTTCCACAGGCTTTGAAATTCCAACTGCTGTTGTGTTTGTTCTTGACCCATTACACTGTTTTTCTTCTGTAGTTTCTGAAGGTTGTTTTTTCCACAGAGAAAGACATGTTGCTAGCAATTCCATGGGACAGTGACTGTCACTTTTAGAAGACATTCCATTTGCTGAGGATTTACCCTCAAGGCAAAATGAATCGTCTGAAATCTTGGCATTTATATTACAAGTACTTGGAGTTTCCACGGTTTTCAAATTCGGCTGGTTATCAGTGATTTGGGTATTTGGATTCCTTTCAAAACTATGTGGTTTAGAATCCTGAATAGTTTTATTAGCATCTTTTGATAATTTCCTCTGAGTTTTATCTCCTTGTGTAAGTAGACTGAGAATTAGTTTATTTTTATTTGGATATCTTGAAACATATTCCTCAAAAGACGTAGACTGAGGAAAAGAAGTTGTTTCAGAATTTGTTGGCACATTTTGTTCAACACTGACAAAATTTCCGGATGAAAACTGAGTGTTATTTAATGTTGCCTGGGTAATCTCAACAGCTGATGTCTTTAAAGAAGTCATAATTTTCAACTCATGTAACTGGTTTGGCACTGGCAACTTTTCTGAACAGACAGGATTTTGTAAAATGGAATTGACTTGGTTAAAATTTCTGCAATTGGTGTCCTGAATGTTGGAATTCAATGTATGGTGTGTTCGATTTGTTTCTTCTACAGATTCCATGGCTGGTGGTGGTTTATCCTTTGCAGCCTCTAGAGTGACTGGGGTTACCAGTGGTCGAGACTGGATTTGGGCAGTTTGATGAGACAATTCAGAATTTTGAGCCGATTCACTATAAGAGGTATTAGTTGTTTTAACACAACCTGCTGCCATCAAAAGATTTTTATTAATTTTAATTTTCCTTGCGAGTTCCGAAAACTTCTTTTTTATTTCAACTAATGTTTTAATATCTCTCACTAACTTTTCTTTCGCGACACTTGTGTCTAGTACTTGATTTGAAGTTAGATTGCAAGCATCCACTCTTTTCTCTGGATTATTTTCAGGAAGAGTCTGAACGCCATCCAGCGAAGATCTAATGGATTCACTATAAGGCTGACTGACACTGGAATTTACTTTCAAGTTACAGGAATTTCCAGTCCTGCTGACATTTTCGTTAAGGTTTTGCCACTGCTGTTGAAAGCCTCTATAAAATTCTTTCCTCATTTCAGGTAAATGCATTTCTTGACTCTGAGGAACTTCCACGGAAGAGTGTTTAATAATATGCTGAGTACTTTGCAAAGGCTGGCTGGCATATCTACAGTCATAAGGAGGAGGAGGTCTTCTGTCAGTTTGAGCAACCGCATATTGATATGACTGTATAGTTGCAGCTTGCTTTGACTGTAAAGTCAGTGCAGAATTTGGAGGGTGACTATTTTTAACTTGTAATGATGCAGCCGGCAGAGAGTGCTGTTTCTGAGTAGGATCTTGCAAATAGCTTCGTGATGAATAACTGTATTGCTTTGGAAGTGTTCTATAATCTGGATAAGTCAGTCCATTGGATGGATACTGTTGTGCCCAATCAACCTGTCGCTCTGATAAAGGTGGGTTAAGTCTCGGGTTTCCCTGATAAGTTACAGGACCGCTTCCAGAACTAGAAGGGATCATCTGTAGTTGCATAGAATAGGTATCTGATGTTACAAACTGATTCTGTAGTGGGTGTACATTGGGCGCATTTGTTCCAAAACTAGTTTGCTGAGAGAGATTTGCCCCTGTATGAGAAAACACAGAATTCCTCATCGGTGAGTTCAACCATACATTTTGTGTAACTCCTGAAGACATTTGCAAATTGTGATTTAGTTGTTTGGGTCCTTTAACATTTGCATACGTTATTCTTTCTACTGAAGTTTGTGAGGCCACAATCGTCCCACTATGCATATCAGAAAGAGGGATTTGTTGAGGAGTTTTGTAATTTCTCATGTTGAGCAGCGGCTGTGAAACTGGATTTGAATTACTGAAAAACATGCATGCTTCTTGATTACTTCCAGGATAGTTTAAAGAACTTTGAGATGGTGTGTTTATCAAAGCCTGCTCCAAAAAAGATGTTTGGTTTTTAGGATACTGTGGTGGTAAGGCAACGCTCTCTGGTTTTGTATTCCAATTCATTGTTGATTTGATGTAGTAGCAGTGTACTAAAGTCAGTTGTTTGAATGTCAGAACCTGTAGAAAATAAAGATCTTTTATTAAAAAGCTGTTTTGCCTAGACAGAACTTCTGGGAAAATTAATTAACCTTAACACCAATGCTGACTCTACCTATTGCAATTCCTGAAGCCTCAGATTAGACAAAATCTCATCTTTAATTCAAGGAAGATGCAACAATAAATACGGCAAATGACAATGAAATTTCTGGGGTGTTTAACAGGAATTCATTCTACACAATACAGGTAGCATTTTGTTTGTTACACTTAAGTGGTAATCACTTTCTGCTTTTAACTAGGTCTTTATTCTAAATAACTCAAGCTCACTGTAAAAAGAAGAAAAAAGACAAGTTCAAACATTTAGTAAAAAGTCCTTACTGTTCACCCCCAATGTCTAACTCCCTAGGATATCTATTGCTATCTCGTCTTTCAGAAAATTTCCATACATCAAAAACACTAATACATAAATAAAACCTCATCTTTTAAAACAAACGGAATCCTGCCAAACACACTGGCTACAGTTTGCCTGATTCTCACTACTATACTTAGGATTATGTTGTCATTTCACTACACATATATCTATTTCATTGTCTGCAATAACATCCACTATATGGCTATACCTCCATTTAACCAGTCCTTCATTTTGATGGATATTTGATATTCTTAAGTTTCTGCACTTATAAACTATCCATTAGTAAGCATTCTTCTGTTTATATGCTTTTATATTCGTGATAAATGTTTCCAGAAATTCCTAGAAATGAAATCAATGTGTCAAAGGACATTAAAATTCTTTTCATAGTGATAAACTGCCTTCCAAAAAGGTTGAAATAATTTACACCCTACCAACAGTATATCTAAAAACAGACAAATCCATAACCATAGTAAATGATAGGGGAAAGACAGATTAAATAACAAAATTAAACAAACTTCACTCAAACATATTAAGAGGACACCCAACAACTGCAGAACACACATTCTTGCCAAGTGCGCATAGAATTTTTACCAATATTGACCACACGGCTGGGCCATAAGCAATTCTCAATTTTCAAAGGATTAAAATAATTCAGATTAATTCACAAGGGAATCAATACAGAAATTATAGAGAAAGGTAAGCAGAAAATTGAGAAATAAGGAACTGACTTTATACTCATGCAAAGAGAGAGAGAAATAGAGAGCTTTTGCAAGAGTGAGCTCCCTGGTGTTTCTTCTTGTACTTATAAAGGCACAGGTCCTATCAGATCAGAGCCCCACCTTATGACCTCATTTAACCTTAATGACCTCCCTAAAGGCTCCATCTCCAAATATAACCTCCAAATTTAGAGGTTAGGGCTTCAACAAGAATTTGGGGCAACACAATTCAGTTCATAACAGGCTCTCATCCCCATGTTCAAATAAGACTTGAGGACAATTTATAACATTAAATAGATTTAGTTTTAAAAAACTGGGAAAGAATGTCCGCATTTATCACAAGAAGTGAGAATAGTAACAAGTTAACCCAAGGAAAATGAAGTCAGAGTGCAATAAACAAAATAATAAACAAAAACAGAGATTCAACAAGTCACAAGTTGGCTCTTTAAAAAGAATAATAAATACCAATAAGCCTCTGACAACTGATGATTAAAAAAAGGAAACACAGGGGCCGGCCCGGTGGCGTAGCGGTTAAGTTCGCACGTTCCGCTTCTCGGCGGCCCGGGGTTCGCTGGTTCGGATCCCGGGTGCGGACATGGCACTGCTTGGCAGCCAGGCTGTGGTAGGCGTCCCACGTATAAACTAGAGGAAGATGGGCACGGATGTTAGCTCAGAGCCAGGCTTCCTCAGCAAAAAGAGGAGGACTGGCAGTAGTTAGCTGAGGGCTAATCTTCCTCCAAAAAAAAAAGGAAACACAATATTGTGAAAAGAGGCTATCACTACACCCTACAGACATTAAAATGGTAAGTATTTATTCTGAGTAACTTTATTCTGATACATTTAAAAATTTAGGTGGAATGGAGAAATTCCTTGAAAAGCACACCTAATCAGGACTGACATAATAAGAATACCATATCTCTTTAAAGAAAATACAACTAAGTATCTTTTCACAAAGAAAATGCCAGGCCTATGTAGACTTTACTGGAGTATTCCACCAATCACTTATGGAAGAAATAATCCAATATAACCTCTTTAAAAGGATAAAAGAGAAGAAATTTCGCAGCTCATTTACTGCTGCTCTCATATCAAAAGCTGAAAAGAACAAAAACGAAGAAGCGAATCTCTCAGAAACAAAAATGCAGAAATCCTAAACAAAATGTCAGCAAACCAAATGGGGTGATAAACGAAAAAGATGATAACCATGAACAAATTGGGTTTATTATAGGAATACAAGGTTTGGTCTTTTCAAAATTAAAGTAATTACATTATGATAACTTTTAAAAATCCTGATCATTTCAGTAGATGCAAGAACTTTTAATAAAATTCAACATCCAGGGTCCGGGTGGTTAAAGTTCTGCATGCTCCACTTCAGTGGCCCGGGTTTGCGGGTTCAGATCCCAGGCATGGACCTACTCCACTCATCAGCCATGCTGTGGAGACATCCAGCATACATAATAGAGGAAGACTGGCACAGATGTTAGCTCAGGGCTAATCTTCCTCAAGCCAAAAAAAAAAAAAGAGGAAGCTTGGCAATGGATGTTAGCACTCAGGATGAATCTTCCTCACCAAAAAAAAAAAAAAATTTCAATATCCATTTATTAAAAGAACAATTGTATCAAACCAAGAATGAAAAGAAATTTCCTTAATTTTGATAAATGGTAGCATGAAAAATTTAGGGCAACAAGACAAAGACGCCACTATCACCCCTTCTATTCATCAGTACCGCAGATCCTAGAAAGCATAAGAATTGGGAAAGAAAACATAAAATCGACTATTCACAGAGGTTATGTAGAAAATCCAAAACCATCAAAGATCTTTCAGATCTATTAAGTTCTGGGTCACAGTGTACTCACTAACAGACTGAAAAAGACTGGGACATTTTTGGATTAAAAACAAATCCCAAGGTAAAACATCTTACAGTCCTCACCTGCCTTCACCCAGGAAAGCGCCTTAATAGACAACGGAATGATCAGGTAGGAGTGTAGCACAAAGTCAAAAGCAGCACTTCTGCTAATGAGTTAATGCTGCCTAATAATTCCCCCCCAGTTCTTAAGTGAACTTAGGGGCAGCAGGCTGTTATGGACCCAACTGTGTCCCCCCCCGCCCCACCCCCACCCCCCACCCCCACACACACACACTCTTCCTGTGTTGAAGCCCTAACCCCTAGTGTGACTGTATTTGGAGACAGAGCCTTTAGGGAGGTAATTAAGGCTAAATGAGGTCATATGCGTGGGTCCATAATCCAATAGGTCCGGTGTCCTTATAAGAGAGACACCAGGTGTACGCACACAGAGCAAAGACTACATTACATAAGATCACAGAGAAGGTGGCTGCCTGCAAGCCAAGGACAGAGGCCTCAGGAGAAACCAAACACCTTGATCTTGAACTCTAAGAACTCTAGAACTGGAAGAAACAAATTTTGTTGTTTAAGGCACTCAATCTGTTACTTTGTTAGGGCAGCCCCAGCAGATTAATATAGAGCCTGTGGGTAGGAAGACAATGACCTTAATGAGTAAGTTGGGGCTTTCTTCCTTTCCTTCTCCTTTGTGGCACAGAAGAAAACAAATGTGGAAAAGCACCCCTGCACAACCTAAATGACAGGGAGGGAGTTAAAAGTTTTTTGACTCAAAGTCTCTAATTTTGGATATAATGTATTCCTAGACCTTTTGAGAATATATTGTAACTGAGACTTCCAGAGAAAGGATTCCCTGGGTCTATCATTTTAATCTCTCTTAGAAACATAGACTCTTCTGCCCCAAATCTTTACCCTGCCCACTCATCACCCTTCACCTGTGACAGCAGTGAGACTCACCGACAAACCCCAGCTACGGCTGAACTTAAGAATCTCCTTCTCTGCACAGGAGCAGCCAAAGTGTTCTGGGGGAAAAAAATCCACAAGCCAGTAGACAGATTTACTTCATGAACACAAACAGCAAACTCAACACTGCCCAACAATTCTACTTCATTTTAACGAAATTATATTAATACTGAAAGTAATTTTATTTTCCCATTCTCTAAGACTTCTGCTCTCCCTCCCTGGTCCCCAGTCACTCCAACCCATACATGTGCACCCCCTACTCAGCTGCTTATATTTCAGAGGGAAAAAATAGCCCCATCTGCCATCCTCCCATCCCCAAATCTAGAAAACATGCATCCTTGTAAATGTAATCTGTGTTTACAGGGACAGAAATGATCTTCCTCTCATCAAACCTCTACATTTTAAATCCTGCTCCCCTCCCCCTTATTCCTAGGATCAACCTGTCTCTGCTGGATTAGGTCATTTACGCATGTGCACACCCACACACACACACACTCTAGGACCGCTAGTATTCAAAGAACACAACCACTAACTTCACTGGGCCCCACATTCTTCAACTCTTCATCCCCACACCAGTGACAGTCTTTTAACTTGGTTAAAAATCACAAGTATAATAAATCAGATTTTAAATGCTTAACGCCTTTAAAGGTAGAAATAAGAATGATTTTTGGAAGTAATCTGTGCTTTCATCTAAATTTTTAAGTAATTAAATAACTAAAAACCATATAGTGAAAAAATCATTAAAGAAATTAAGATGTTACATTCGAAAATATTCACCTAATGCAAAAGACAATAGTAAAGGAAGAACAAAAAGACATAAGGCATAGAAAACAAAAAGAAAAAAACAGCAGACGTAACTCCATCTATTTCAATAACATTATATGTGAATGGATTAAATAATCCCAAAGACAGAGAATGTCAGGTGAAAAAAAAAAGCTATCTAACTATACGCTATCTCCAATAAACACACTTTAGATCCAAAGGTACAAACAGATTGAAAGCAAAAGGATGGAAAAGGTATCATGCAAACAGCAGTCACAAGAAAGGTGGAGTGATTGTACTATTATCAGACAAAATAGACTAAAGCAAAAAAGTTACTAGAGATAGAGAGACACTTCACAACCATAAAAGAGTCAATCCACCAAGAAGATCTAAGAATTGTAAACATATATGCACCTAACAGAGCATTAAAATACAAGAAGCAAAAACAAGGGAGAAAGAGGCAATTCTCAGAGTCAAAGACTTCAATTCCCCACTTCCAATAACAAATAGGAACAAATAGGCAGAAAAATCAACAAGGAAATAGAAGTTTTGAACACATTATACACACCCACATTTGTTTCCAGTGGGATTAAAAAAAAAAGAGTATCTTAAATTATACATTAGTGAATAATTAGCCACCGGTTGCTCTGTAGGTTTGGGGTTCTCTCCTCTCTGGCAGTTACCGTGGATCGGATCTAGTACGCCAAGTACTCTTGTCAAGTGTGAAAGGGTCAGCAGCCCAGTAACGGGAGCAGGTGCCATCAGGCTATCAAACCACCAGATTCCTATATTCTGTTGTGGGTAATTCTCCTAGGAACATCCTTGCCATGACTGGCTATTTTTGTCGTGCTGTGGAGTCAATTCTGACTCCTAGCAACCCTGTGTACAGGACAGCAGAACCCTGCTTAGTTTTGTGCACCATCCTCTCACCTTCCGGCACTATATCACACAATGTTCTGCTGCTACTCGTAGGGTTTTGATGGCCAACACTTTTCAGAAGTGGCTGCCCAGGTCCCCCATCCTAATCTGTCTTAGTCTGGAAGCTCCGCTGAAGCCTGTCTACCATGGGTGACCTCGCTGGTATTTGAAATACCAGTGGCATAGCTTTCAGCAACACAGCAACACACAGCCACCACAATATGACAACCAACAGATGGGTAGTGTGGTTCCCTGACTGGGAGTTGAACCCAGGCCATGGCTGTGAGAGTGCCGAATCTTAGCCACTAGACCACCAGGGCTGGCACAGATAAATTAGGGAACTCTAAACAGTGATCCTAGATACACTACTTACTGCAAAGTTTGGTTCTACTAATCCGATGCATTTGGCTGTAGGTTTTACAGTTTGAAGAACTGGCAATACTAATATGTTGACACTGATAAGATGTGGTGGCCCTCACTGGGAGGCAAGCAGCCCTTGTGCGTTCATGTTGATAAAGTGCTATGTCCCAAACTGGGGGAAGTCAGAGCCATAATTCACATACTCCTCAAGAGACAGTCCGTGGAGGTTGCCTGTGTGTCATCACGAACACAGCATTTTTAAATTTGAAATTAAAAACATCTTATATCCTGGAAGTAGACAAAGTCTATCTTTTCAGTTTGACAGTTTTTGATTTAAATCTTATATGATATTACTATTACTTCCTGTAAGAAAACTGGGAAGAAGCAAGTCACCAAAAATCCAAAGTATAGGAAGTTGTGAACAGCAAGTTGTGAATTGCAAAATTAAGATTAATTTGTGAAGCAAGAAAAAAAGGGAAGTGAACGGCTACAGGAGACAATAAACATAAGAACCCATGTGGATTTTCACATAAAATTTTCATAAAGACCTCACTAAGGTTAAGAAAAGATTTGTGAACTTTTTTCATTTTAAAATATTCTATGTCCACACAATGCACAGAATGTAGTTTAACTGAAAATTCATCAACCCAGCAGCTTCTTTTATTTGCAAGCTAGCCTTACGAAAGAAAATTACAAAGCAAAGAGATAACCTAAAAATCATACCTTTTAGGAATAATCATATTAATGTCTACCTTAAACACAAATGCACAAGCACACACACTCATCAACAGAAAGAACTCTATGAAATAGACCTTATATTATGGTTTGCCACAGCCAGGCCTGCTATAGGTCAGATGAAATAGTAAGAAGTAGAAGATGAAAGGACAAACTGAGCCACATCAAGAATTGTCTTATATCCAAGGATGACCATTAATTTATCAAAGAAACTGCAACACTATTAGAGTGAAAGATAATGCTATTATAGCCAAGATGATAGGCATAAGAAAAGATTGTGTCTCAGGGTCATCCAAAAGATGCACCTATCTAGACAATGTCTAGCAGGCTTCAGTAATGTCAAATGAATAAACATTATCTATAATTGCTGAACACCAACTTAAAGAGAAGTCCCTATTTAAACTTGTAGATGGGAAAAAGTTCCCATCCCTCCCTTTACATCTATGTCAACCATAAACATTACATGATTTCCTCCGTAAGCGTTTCAAGTACCTCAAAAATATAGGCCCTCTTAAGAAATATATGTCATATTCCTCTCCTACCCGAAAAAAACATAAATCTGTTTTGGTATTTTAAATTGGAACTTTCCCTTATGGTTTTGTAAGTTCCCTTTCTAATGTGGTCCACAAACCAAAGTTTATTTGGAGAGTGTCCACTGATGTGGTTAAATGGAGGAAAGCCAGAAGTCTTCACTGAAAAACTGACTTGCATTAGAAAAAGCTACAGATACTTCTATAAAAACCAACAAAACCACAAACACCACCACTTCAGTATAAAAGCCACTTTTTTCAGGAATTCTGAAAGCATCCTGATTGACTCAACCTATTCTCCCCAGCTCTGGCTTTTTGTATCTTTACTCACAGGAGAAATTATGCTATCAGCCCTTGAATTGGGCTTTCAAGAATAGATTATTCTAAATTGTACATTATTTTATAATACAACTCCACAAATAATAACAGCTAACATTTGAGAATTTACACCACGTCAAGAACTGTGCTGAACGCTTTACATACATTGCCACATCTAAGTGTAACAACAAATGAATGAAGTCCAGGAGTCCTCCCTAAGCAGTAGGGTCACGGCTAGTAGGGCCAGAAGTCCCACTAACACAGCTGTTAGGCAGGCTCTCCACAGTGCCATAGAAAGAAAGGAGACAACACTAAATGAATTCACATATAGTTGACTACTTACTGGAACAGCAAAACCAACCTCAGTGTCTCTAATCCCACTGATACCAAGGTGACACCAAGGTGGCTACCAGGCTGCTGAGGAGCCAACTCTAACCTATAGCCATTTTATAGCCTGCAGCTACACCCCAAGAGGAAGGGAGGTGGGAGAGTCCTGTGCTCAACTGACACTAGGGAGGCAGAGGAGAAACAACCTTGGGGCTATTTCTCACAAGGCTGCTTATCAGTCTTTGTTCTGGGAGGACCTGCAGGGTGTCCTGCCAAGGTGTGGGTCAGACTGAGATTACACTTTGCCTCTGCAGCCTATGAGAAGAGAAAGGTTATCAAGGCACCAGGAAGCTGTTTATCTACATCTCGACCTTCCAATTTTTCATGTATCCAGCTATAAATTCTATTCAGAAGCCCAGGCCACTCAACCAGACACGCCAATTAATTGTACTTTCTCCTAGGCAACACTGGGGAGGAGTGATTAGACTGTGACTCCCGATAGGACAATCTGGCCTTATGTGGAGGTCAGGCCACAATCAGGCTACTCATAGGGAGCCAAGCCAGCGAGGTACATCCCAGATACCACCGACGTTCACCAGTGAGAGGCACACGGCTTTCTCCCTGAGAGAACAGGGGAGAGGGAAATAAACTGCTCTCCTTTTCCAGACTTATTGATCTAGGTACAGCATGGGGTATTGGCAATCACATATATTCCACCACGACTGGCCAGCAGAGAGTTCAGAGAAATGCCACTGACTATCATTCGGGCTAGAAAGTTTACACTAGTTTGTGATGTCTCCAGTGCAGAGGTCAGAGACGAATTTCAGAACACTTTGTCTAGTTATATTATTCCCTGAAGTGGGAAGGAAAGATCACAGAGCACACACAAAGAAGTCAGTTATCCTTCTTTGGAGTTCTGCCTCGCAACTCATTTTAGAGCCCTCTGGGTACCCACCTCAAGGAAACATGATCCACTGGAGGGATGGTGGCCTCAAATATCTAGGAATCCCTGACAACTGCCCCAACTACACGATCAGTGTTTGCCAGGCAAGCGTAAGCTCCACAAGGCGCGATATTCCATTGGGGTACAAATTGCATCACTTATTACAATGGAGTGAGCCAATCTGTGCCTCTTGAGGAGGACAAACTCTTTGAGTAGAACTGAACAGAAAAGCAGGCTGCAATGCCTCTGAAGAGAAATCTGATAAAACTGTTACCCCGTCAGTTAACTTCTGTCATGATGGGCCACATTCCAGTGTTCACGCCGGTTGTCCCAGGTTCTGTTGAGAGGGTTGCAAGAACCTCAAGAGAGGCATTTTGTAGGGATGGAATTAAGATCCAGATTTGATAGAACTGAAGGTTGAAATTAATGATGCAAGGGGATCTCAAGGACCAGAAAAGATCTATAAGACAGAATCTACCTTCTTGTCAGCAGGGTCAGGTAAGGCATGTCCAATCCAGCAATCAGTTAAACTCAGAACCATAACTATAGTCTAGAAAATGCATACAAGACAGATGTGCTTTCCCTTAATCAGGAAGTCATGACTAATAGGATGAGGTATTCAGACCTTCAACCTAAGGACATCACTCTCAAGCACATCCACTCTCCAAGTCAGCAGCTGCTGAGAGTCTCTAAGTAGCTTAGATTAAGAACTTCCACTGGCCAGCAGTTACGTTGAGGATGGTGGCAAAAGCCTGGGGTAAATTAGGATTAATCGTTCCCCCCCCCCCACCCCTGACCCCTGGGGTCTATTGTCTTCCTTCCCCAACAAGCATAGGGGAGTTATGCAGCTTCTGCTGGGTGAGAAGGAATAGCACTCAGTTGTGAACTGATCGGTTGCATGCTCCAAGCCACCCTAGCCATAACACTTTGTCCAGTGACAGGGTCATGTAGAAGGAAAATGTAACAACTGCTAGAAATTGTGGCAGTGAATCTTTAGGGCCACAATAAAGCACTGACCTACCTGAGATGAATTTCTGTCATCTAATAAACACCCTTCAACTACTTCAATGAAAACATGTGGCAAAAACAGAATAAGGAAGCAGATAGAAGAATCTATTTTGTATTAAGCCAGACATCAAAGAGTAATGAATAATTGAAAAGCAATAGGATATACTGGAGCATATGAGGAAGCCATCTGGTTTAAAACTAATTCAGCCTGAACTTGTTTTTCCAGAAAAGCCTGACGTGGCCTGTTGAGCATGCACTGTACATCTGCTTTAGACACTAACAACGTCCCAAAGCCAAGAACGATGCCCTTAAAGACAGTGACGTGGGGCCGGCCCCGTGGCCGAGCAGTTAAGTTTGCACGCTCTGCTTCAGCGGCCCAGTTTGGATCCTGGGCACGGACATGGCACCGCTCATTAGGCCATGCTGAGGTGGCATCCCACATCCACAACTAGAAGGACCCACAATTAAAATATACAAGTATGCACTGGGGGGATTTGGGGAGAAATAAACGAGGAAAAAAAGATTGGCAACAGTTGCTAGCTCAGGTGCCAATCTTCACTAAAAGAAAAAGAAAGATAGGGATGTTGCCTCCCCTCTTATTAGCATTTCTTTAAGGATAAGCATTTCTTCCCAGAAACTAAGGATTAATTCCTGACCCACCGTGCTCATCTCATGACCACTGACCTACTGACCAGACTTGCTGTGCTCACCTTGTGACCGCTGACCTGCTGTGCTAGCAAAGCATTCCATGACTGTAGTAAAAGAGATAGTCCAGTCATATGTGATGTATGGGAAGGAAGCCCCAAGGCTACAGTCCTCAGACCTGGCTCACCTAATAGACTCACCTCAATTTTGATTTATAGATTGATTATGGATTATTGGTGTCGATAAGAGATCTGCAAAAAATACAAAACAATGTCACTATTTTCACTATTGTTTTTGGAAAATATTCATACTAACATGTAAGGATTGTTACTTTTAAATGAAATACTTTAAAGAATTTCTCAGTTCTAGTTCTTTATGCAGTAAATATTAACGTAACCCATATAAATGAATGTTTTTTTGGGGTCCTAAAGAATTTTTAATGGAGGGGCCTGCCCCGTGGCCGAGTGGTTAAGTTCGCGCGCTCCACTGCAGGCGGCCCAGTGTCTCGTTGGTTCGAATCCTGGGCGCAGACATGTCACTGCTCATCAAACCACGCTGAGGCAGCGTCCCACATGCCACAACTAGAAGGACCCACAATGAAGCATATACAACTATGTACCGGGGGGCTTTGGGGAGAAAAAGGAAAAAAATAAAATCTTTAAAAAAAAAAAAAGACTTTTTAATGGCTATAAATGCTTCCTACAGTCTACAGGTGCAGAGAAAGCATGTCCATGCGGTTCTCATGGAGGGAGAACCCAGAAGATGCACCTGACCACTATGGTCTTCGCCTATGCATATTTTTTTTTCCTGTTGGTCCTATATTGTACCTTTGTGGTCATAAACTTTATCCATGAGAATACAAAAATAGAGAAAAGGAACAAAACCACAAGTTGGGTGTTTGAAAAGATCAACAAAATTAATAAACCTTTCACTAGACTGACCAAGAAAAAAAGACTCAAATTACTAAAATCAGGAATGAAATAAGGACATTACTACCAACCTAGCATAAAATGAGAATACTATGAACAACTGTATGCCAATATATTTGATAATTTGGACGAAAAGGACAAACTCCTTGCAATATTGTAATTTATAATAAGGAATACAGATTTGGTCTTATCCTATCTCTGGCACAGAGTTCCTAAAACCCTTGGATTTTCCTAAGTGAGGAGAGTGCTAAAGATGTCTTCTGTTATGTTAATAAGGTGACTTTTGGACTGCACTGAAAGATGGGGGCTGGTTGCCAGGAGGACCAATCATGTGATTAGGGGGTTGGAACTTTCAGTACCATCTCCCCCCATCACCTACAGGGAGGGGAGCAGAGCTGGAGGTTGAGTCAATTGCCAATTGCCAATGATTTAACGAGTTGTGACTATGTAATGAAGTCTCCATAAAAACCCAAAAGGAGAGGGTTCAGCGAGATTCCAGGCTGGTGAAAACATGGAGATCGGAGAGAGTGGCACGCCTCAGAGAGGGCATGGAAGCTCTGCGCCCCACCCCACATCGCACCCGAGGCATCTCTCCTATCTGCCTGTCACTTTGTTTCCTTTAATATCCTTTGCAATGAACCAGTAACCTAGTAAGTAAACTGTCTGTTTGATCTTGTGAGGTGCTCCAGCAAATTAACAGAACCCGAGGAGGGGGTCACAGAAACCTCTGACCTATAGTCAGTGGGTCACAAGTACAGGTAAGGGGGTTGTAGCTGGTGGATCAGAAGCACAGGTGACAATCTGGGGTGAGGTCAGTCTTGTGGGACTGAGCCCTCAATCTGTGGAATCTGTGCGATCTCCGGGCAGATAGTGTCAGAATTGAGTTCAGTTGTAGGACACCCAGCTGATGTCCCCAGAGAATTGCCTGTTGTTGATGTGGGGAGAAACTTCCTCTCACAAACACACACTGGAATTGGGCATAGAACCCTAAAAGACCCCCAAAGACACAGTGACTAAAACTGACTCTAGGAGATATAGGAAATCTAAATAGACCTATAAAGAGATTGAATTAGTAACCAAAAAACTACCTAAAAAGAAATGGTTAGGCCCAGATGGCTTTCCTGGTGAATCATATAAAAAAAACTGCAAGGTTTAAAACTAATTCTAGGGGCCGGCCCAGTGGCCAAGTGGTTAAGTTCACGCACTCAGCTTTGGTGGCCCAGGGTTTCGCCAGTTCACATCCTGGGCATGGACATGGCACCGCTCATCAGGCCATGTTGAGGCGGCGTCCCACATGCCACAACTAGAAGGACCCACAACTAAAATATACAACTATGTACCGGGGGGATTTGGGGAGAAAAAGCAGGAAAAAAAACCTAATTCTACACACTCTTCTAAAAAATAAAACAGGAGGGAATACTTCCCACCTTAATTCCATGAGGCCAAGATTACCCTCACACCAAAACCAGAAAAGAAATCAAAATAAAACTATAGACCAGTCTGTTATGAATATAGATGCAAAAATTCAACAAAATACCAGCAAACCAAACAGAACAGCATATAATTATACGCCATGACCAAGTGGCGTATCCCAGAAATGCAAGATTGGCTCAAGTCATCAAAAACAAATCAATGTTATGTAATTTATCAACAAAGGACAAAAACTACATCATAATCTCAGTACATAAAGATAAAGCATCTAATATGATGGAAATTAAATGCATTTTAAAATCCAACACCCTCGCATGATAAAAACACTCAAACTAGAAATAGAAGGGACCTTCACCTTGATAAAATGCACCTAAAAAACTCTTACAGTTTACATCATACTTCATGGTGGAAGACAGCATGCTTTCCCTCTAAGAGATCAGGAACAAGACAAGGATGTCTGCTCTTGCCATTTCTATTCAACATTGTACTAGAGGTTCCAGCCCTGGCAGTTAGGCGAAAAGAAATAAGAGACATCCAGATTGGAAATGAAGAGGTAAAACCATTTCTACTTGTAGAAAGACATCATCTTGTATATAGAAAATTGCAAGGAATCCACTAAAATGCTCATAGAACTAGTATACTGGTTCAGCTGGGTGTGAAGTACAAGCCCAATATACAAAAATCAAATATATTTATACACAACATTTAATCTAGAAAATTAAGAAAACAATTCCACTTACAGCAACATCAAAAAGAATAAAACACTTTGGAAGAAATTTAATAAAAGTGAAACACTCATACTCCGAATATTATAAAACTTTGGTAAAAGAAATTAAAGACCTAAATAAATGGAAGAACATCCCACATTCATGGACTGGAAGATTTAATACTGTTAAGGTGGCAATAGTCCCCAAATTGGTCTAAGGATTCAGTGCAACTCTTGCCAAAACCCTAGATGTCTTCTTTGCAGAAATTGAAAACCTGATCCTAAAGTTCATTTTGAAAAAGAATAAAGTTGGAAGACTCATATTTCCAACTTCAAAACTTATTACAAAATTACAGTAATCAAGACCATGTGGTACTGACATAAGATAGACATTGATGAAAGAAACAGATTCCAAAAATAAACCCTCACATTTACAGTCACTAGTAAGGAACTAAAATCCAGAATATATAAAGAACTCTTACAACCCGACAATACAAAGACAGTTAAAATTTAAAGTCAACAAAGCTTTTGAATAGACACTTTTTCCAAAGAAGACATACAAATAGCCAATATGTACACAAAAAGACATTCAACATCACACATCATCAGGAGAATCAAAACCCCAGTGAGATACCACTTCACTCTTACTGTGATGGCTATAACCAAGAAGTGTTGGTATGGATGAGGACAAATTAAAACTCTTACGCACTGCTGTTGAGAATATAAATGGTTCCTCCACATCAAATAACAGTCTGGCAGTTTCTCAAAAGGTCAAAAATAGTTACCACATGATGGAGCAACTCCACTCATAGGTATACACCCAAAAGAACTGAAAATGTATGTTCATACAAACACTTGTACATGAATGTCCACAGCAGCATTATTCATAGTACCCAAAAAGTGGAAACAATCCAAATGTCCATTCACTGATGAAAGGATAAACAAAA